TGGCGTGTGTTGCCCAGAAACTGGAAAATGGAAAAATAAAAAAAAAAAAAAAAAAAAAAAAAAAAAAAATTACCTTTCATAAACTTGATACATGCCTGCATGAAATAAAATTAATTGTTCCAAGAATTTGCTTTAGATTTGCATTAAGTATTAATTACCTACTGAATTTCAGAAAATTTGATTTTTAGAAAGAAAATGGTTTTCTTTTTTTAGAAAGAAAACTCTGTTCCAAATGCTGTTCAATGGTACAGATTTCCCAAACTTAGAGCAATGTAAACACTCTTCAAAAACACACAGGAGGTGCAGCCTTAGCTTTTACACTACCAAACCATGCTCTTGAAGTAACTGACATTGTTCCATATAGGATCAAATTATTTCAATCATGGGGGTTTTGCTCCCCTCCCTTTTGGGGAGATCTCTCACACATAACTGCAGAATAAACATGCTGGTCCCAAAAACAAGAGTGTATCTTTTAGTACAGCTGATCTCTCACATTACAACTACATCAGACAGTGATTAAGCAGAGAGTTTTGCTTTATCAGATGACCCCCCACTACTTCACACAACCCACCAACAGAGCAGTAGTTTGTGGCAGAACCTATAGGAAAATATTTTACTGGTTATCACTAAATGGGCATGTGGCAATACAAAGAATTTGGCACAGAAATCTCTGTTGCTGGATATGAATGTGGTGAAGTATTATGGTATGTGGGCATCTCCTCCTCCTCCAAAGGAGCATCCAAAGAAAAATAAGACATTATTTAATTCGTGCCCTTCAAAATTTTACGCAGAAATTTAGTGAACAGATTCCCAAGGGAAAAGGGCAATTAAATAAACAACACACTTTGTAACAAAGAATACAGAACAGAAGGGAGGGTTCTTCAAGTAGCTCTCCTGGGATTCCCAGGAGATTATATGAGACAAAAGAACATTTAAATTTTGTGGAATCATTTGACGTAACAATTCTAAATAGGATTTGTTCTTGGGAAAAAAGGTGTTGTACAAGTTGCTTACTGTTCTCCCCAACGCCCAAACATTTCTTCAAAGCTAAAATTGATTTTGTGTAAACTTAGATGCTCATTTTACTGGAAAATTCAGCATAAGAAGTTATTATGGGGACATTAAAGTACAGATTATTCAAAGAAAGCAGTTGACCTCACTTGAGTTACATGAACTCACGTTTTTTTAAGTTATTTTTAAAAGTTTGACTCATTTGAAAAGAAATTGAATGTTACGTGGTTCACGCTTCCAATCAAAATTAAACTAGAACATCTTAGAAAACTATGACACTTCTGTATTTGTAATCCAAGAATTTTCTACCTCTCCACCAATTTTTAAAGATAAAAATCCAGTAAAGAACATGTTATTCTCAATAATTAAGGTGACATGAGAATGAAGGAGTTTAACTCTTCTTGGTGAATATTTTATTTAAGAAAATTCAAGACAGCTCAAGCTGTAGATTTAACTTTACAGAAACAAATTAATGAAAGAAAAGTTTATCATGAATTATTTTTCTTAGCCTTGATAAGTTGGTATGTCTTCTAGAGAAACTATTTTCCCGGTAAAATCAGGTGAAACTCAAAATAATAACTAAGTTACAAAGAGCGGAAACAATTTCATCATTTTCAAGCTCACCACTTTTGTAGCGCTCTCGTTGTTCTATCTTCAAGGTCAAATAGAGGGTCCTGATAGGGAAGTAGACAGCTTGGGGATAGACTCTTCCCACCTATTTAGAGATACACATATATATATATTTCTCCGCTAAGGAAAACTCACTATACGTCAGATCAACACATACAGATACTCTTTGTAAACGAGTGCAATTCAGTAAACTAGGAAATTAAAGCTTCTTTCAGTAACAGAAACACAAAGAGGATGAAACGGTAACTCCCTACACACGCTGTTAAGGCATCACCTAATTACGGCTTCCAGATCATATTGCCTAATAAACCTGAAAACAGCATAATGCCAGAGTACCAGCTGGGCCAGTTCAAAGATCTTACTCACATATATAATGGAAGAAAAACAGACATAATGACAGCAGTTAGTCTTTAAATTAGGCCACAACTCCCAGCGAGCCCCATGATACTTTATAAAAAGGCCCATTAGAGAGTAACTTTACTCCACCTAATTGTGGCACTTAATGTATGGGGATACTGATTTCACCCAAAAATAAAAAAGATTTTATTGCTTCCATTAAAAAAAAAAAAAGCTAAAGAGATATTAACATTCAGCATCCCCTTTAAAATCTGTAAATCTCAGTACCTATTAAAGGAAAGAAACGATGTGTCTAAGTACTACCCACGATAGAGCACATCTTAAGACATGATTAGAGGCTTCTCCAGCCACAATTTTACTAAATCATGGATTCTCCCTCCATCCAAAAGGGTATGGTAAGTGGTAGAAATTTTGCAATGGCATTTAACTGTTCAGTAATATGATATTCATGGCATGCTTCATGCTGTAATTCAAGAGTAAATTATTTGAAGAGAATTGTAAGGTTTAGGTTCTAGTACTTCTGCAAACTTAAGAGTTTTAAATTAGGAACACAGAAAATTTGGTATTTTTTTATTTTATATTCCTTCTATGGACCTGAAGTTTAAAGGCAAGAAGTTTAAAGGCAAGATAAACAAAAACATCTGCGATATTTATGACCCTAAGCTCCAAACACAGTAGGACTTCCAAGTAGGCACTCACTTCTGAAAATTGTATACAGATCTCAACAAATAAAAAATGTCTACAACTCATTGAAGTAAGTTTTTTCTGACAGCAGCCAGAAGACAGCTGAGCAGACTGGTGTTGCAAGACAATACCAAGCCATATTCAAGAGAAATTTTGCCTTAACTACTTTGCTTTCTTCAGCTGTTTAGGTACATGGTCTCTTCAAAGTTTCATTTTAATTTTATGGAGAGAAAGGGAAGGAAACATATGTATACATTTGCACACACACACTTATCTAGATTTATGTACACAAGTATCAATGCACACGCAAACACACATGGACATACTGTCTCTCTGCAAAAACACACATTCTCAGAGGTTTGAAAGAGCAAAGGTAAGGGATAGTATAAAAGGAGCAGGGTATCATAGAATCATAGAATATCCTGAGCTGGAAGGGACCCACACGGATCATCAAGTCCATATCTCAAAAATCAGAAGTGGAGGGAAGGAAAGAAGAAGAATACTGTGAGGAGTTCAGCCCAACAGCTGTCCTTTGCCGGTTTTCAGGAAACAGTGGCGCACTGCAGACAGAAGTGGCCTGGGGTACACGCTAATGAGAGAGCTTCGTATGTCCACCTGCACGTTAACAGGACTTCACAATTGTTTTACATTAACCTGAATGAACAAACATCAAAATGCTTCCAGGTTGTGTGCATGCTAAAACAGAGCTGAAGTTAGACCACAGAGTTATCATCTCTGAAAACATGATGTTTGAACCCTGTTCGCACTAAGCCGAAACAAAACAGTATCTAAAAACACATTAACAGAAAAAAGTCACTTATTCTCCCTTAGTCTACAGACATGCTTAAACCAACTTTATACTGAAATATAGATATATGTTCTATTCTTAGGTTCTGCTTCAGAGCAGACAGCAATAGGCAGTAAAATCTTAAAATCCCAAAGCAAGATTAACCAAAACTCATATCCGTCAGGTACAAATCCAGGAAGACAGTTTCTTCATTTAACTCCCTAACCCTTATCCTTATTCATCTAATCATTTGTCATGCTAAACTTCAAGTGAAAATTTACAAAGCCCCAGTAAAGATTTCTGGTGGTGACAGACAGAGCCTTGTTTTTTAAAAATCAAGCCTAATAAAACCCAAAGCACTAATGAAATATTTTGCCCTTTATTCACTAAAGCTAACAATTCTTTATCCCTACTCCTAGGGAGGGATTACAGGCATTTAACTATATATTTCTAAACACGTTCTACAATGTTCACAAAAATGTAATAAATAGAATTCCAGAGGGAAAGCTATAATGCCTTATGCACATATGGCATACAATTTCACTGGATTTAATCTCATTAAGTAACACTCACTTTGAAATTTAAAATATTCTACTTATAGAGAGAAATTAGCATTTTTTAACTCATCAACAGTTGCAAACAATGGCATTTTTAAAGCTTAGCATTTTCTTAATTGGCTTTGAAAAATATTTGTATCTCATCTTGAAAACAAGGATTACAGACAATAAAGAATTAGTGATCATCTTCTGTACCTACCTGACTAATGAGGTTCAGAAGGAGTTTGCCCTCTGAGCCAACCAGGCATGTCAACAGCTGTGGAATCCAGGCCAACCACTGAATGGGTGGGACACCAATACAGTACTTGTCTACGGCATCTGCTAACGTGTTCTTATCATCGTCAAAACTCAGTAGCCAAAGAACCTAAAAGAGAATTTCAACAGGACATCTCAGGGCTTAAATTCAAGACACGTCAATTATATGATGGAGAAAAAAACCCCACAGATACTTTATTAATATGATAGAGGAGTCTTTGTAAGTGTCAAAGCCTCCTCGGACACAAGAACTTACATTCATTATGCCTGGCCAATGTCATTTTTTCCCTTAGAAATAATATTTAAAGGATGTAAAAAATAAATGTATTGCTATGAAACAAGCAATACATTTGCTATGAAACAAGACAGAAAAAAGCCAATGAACATGACTGCATTCCACAAATTCTTTGGGTTTTTGGTTGGGGGAGTGGGTGGAAAATGAGGCATGTTTATAGAACCTAAAATATGCTATTCGGATAAATTAACTTGGAAGTGAGAGCTTGAGTATTTCTTTGGGTGTTTTTAATCAGTTTAACTGTCCACCCCTAATGACACTTTTTCTACAATTTAATTTAAATGAAGATATATTAAGCACTGACTAAAAATCACCAACAGTTATGCAACCAGACAGTGAGAATAATAAACTTCAGAGGGCTATGGAGGCCATCTTGAATCTAAAAAAAATTTTCTGTGTTTGTTTCGTGTTCAAAATAGATTATCTTCCACAGTCCGCTATCTTTTTTTACATTTTCTTCATAAGAGAGATTAAAGTAGATATCCCCAAACTGAGAAATACATAACACAAAGAACTTTGGCTGAAGTTGTTGAATTAGAGTAAAAATTTACAGAAAAAGCCTATTTAGAATAAAATGCAATACTGAGGTAAAAGTTAATATGAGTTATCCATAGTAATGATAAACAGACATCAAATTACATTACTTTTTAAAGCACCAAAGGATGCCTTTCTGCAGGTATTTCACCATGTTATATATTAGAAATGCTGAATGTGATTTGTTCCCTTTCTCCCACAAAGAGGTTCCACACCCTAAAAAAAACAACCGAGATATCCCAGTGAAGTAGAAATACCCGTGATGAGTTACATGCAATGACCCAACAGCAACCGTATGCAGATTTTCAGTCTAAATTAAAGCTTTCCACCAGTAACTGATATTTCTCTAATTGCACAAATTTGGGCATTGAACATTATCCCAGCCTTTTTTGAAGGGGTGGAACTCCAATTCTTTTTCAAACATCTAGATCTTACCTTTGCTAAGTATTTTCTTGATTTGCTCTCATTCTGATGACGACATGCATGCAGGTAGCAAGTAATAGCAGACACACCCAGGTGAAGCTGACGTTCTTTCACAAAGATATTCTCCAAGTAATCACCCCACATTGCCCATGCTTTCACTAGCACATCATGCATTTGCACAGCTGCAGAAAAAGCTTTGTTTGCTTCTTCAGACCTGCATTGTGACAAGTAAGAATATTAGTTTTATACTAACAAGAAGTTACTAAATTATGTAAGAGTCAGATTTCTGATAGGATACTCAATTACTTTCTTAATACTCAATGATATTTTTCCATTAAGTTCTCTAATAAGGTCTCTTATGACCGTTTTGTCTTAGCTTTCCTTAAAGTTCAGCACCTATGAAAGTAAATGCTTCACAATTGAAACAATTATCTAGGTGTCTAAGATCTCCAAATACTCCCTGAAAAAAAACTAAAAACTTCCAGTGCACTGCAATTGCAACCCAAGCAATGATACTGGGAGAAAGAAGAATGAATGATAACACAAGAAAAGCAGAAGCAAATGCATTAAAAAGTGCTTCTCTGCTGAGCAAAAAAGGAAGTAAGAAAAAGCAACATTGGGAAAATGTTATATTAGCTGTCTTTTGGAGGACTACATCTTACTTAAATGTTCTCGCACCCAGGTCATAAAAAAATTTATAATCAATGTTATCTGTTCAATGTTCCTCATCCCCACAGCTTTAAAAGTCTATTTTTCAACAGGAAAAGTGAAGGAATATGAAGGTTAATCACACAGTTCTTAGTAACCAAAAGATTATTTGTTTGATACTTCTGAAGTCTTCTCTAGGTTTCCTCAAGTGTTCTAGTTCAAGATTTGGCATGATTCATCCCAATATATATACAGCCCTTGAATCTATGTAACTTTTCACACATAAAGATAAAGGATGAGAAAACTCACATACACATTACTGAAATTAAGACACTTTTAATGCATTCCAAGATTCCTTATTAATAGAAAGTGTTCCACTTCTCCCTTGCAGAATAAGCATTGAAATAAATAGTACCAAAGTAACATAATGCTTGTTTGACTAATTTTTTAAAATTAACTGTAAAGTTTTTTTAAATAAAAATATTAGCTTGGAGGATTACAGCGATAAATTAAAATGACGAGCTATTGAGGCAAAACAATAAAAAGGAAAGCAACTTTGTCTTTCAAAGTATATATTAGTTTCTATGGCACACAAATATGTTACTTCCTTTCAGAGGCTTTCTGCATGAGGTTTTGAAGTGAACTACCACAGCAGCAACCTGATAGATGACTTTGTATCACTACTTCCCCTTTACAAAAAGAGGACTTTTCAGTCGGTTTTCTTTTCTCCTTCTCTACAATCTATCATTCTTGACACCTGAGACGACTTTTTAAAAATGGTTTCTATCACCTTGCTCAGCAAATGGGCAGCACAGGGAGATGCAAGAGCAGAGGTGACCTTTAACTTCCAGTTTAGTTGACACACAGGTAATCAGTAGTCACACATCTCGGGTTCAACACTGCCATTGTTCCTAACTGTAACCTTCCTAAATTCCTGACCTCAGCTGCAGTGCTAAAAAAAATGCCTGTATGTTTTTTGGCAAAATTAAGAAACTGTAAGTATATCAGAACCATGTTTTAAACAGAAACCTTTATCCATTCTATCCTAAAAGAATGAACAGAGACAGTTTAGCTACCTTTTACTTTATCTGCATGAATTTAAAAAATTTAAAAATAAAAAAAAAAAAACGATGGGGGGAGGTACACTTCCTTCTCTCTACACCTCAATTGAAACTAAGCTCACTTATGGCCATAAAAAAGCCCACTGCACTTTCCATCAAAGTAATTACATTCTGCCTATTTAAAATTCTCTCTTGTATCCACAGAAGAAGACATTCATCATTTCCTGACTTAAATTGCTATGTGAGGTTGCAGTGTACAGCTTAAAACCTGATGGATTTCATTCTGTAAATGTCCACAATGTAGTGGTAAAGGAATTATTCCACCCAGATGAAACACGTAGCAATACTGCCATTAAATGCCATGCATACTAAAAGTTGTTGAAATCTGAAGGTTTTTTTGGCATCACCGAACAAAATTTGACTGCTGAGATATTTGTTTATTGAATTAAAGAGAGATCTTCCTCCAAATAGTAAGATGCCTGTCAGCATAAAGCAAAAATATTACAAAAGTAGTTGTGCGAAAGCAAGGCTTGCACCTAGGTGTTTAGGTGTATGCAAGACGTCTCCAACGCCCACCACATTAGTTTTTTCAATTCAATTATCTGAAATGAGTGTTGCATTTCCATATTGCACGGTACACCAGATCTGTCTAAGCACGTGAACTATGCCACAACACATTTTGCTATGCCTTGACCAACTGCAGCTATTAATATACAATGAACAATGAAACAGAAATGAAAGAAACAGAGAGGCTAATTTTGTTTAAGTAACTGTAAGCTTATAGACTGAACTTTTTCTTTCCTTGGTTTTATATGTGATATTTACATTAACAACATAATTAAAGCAACCTCCTTTTCTCAACTACCCTAAGACATCAATTAGACATCAGTTTGTCTAAGTACTCACAGAACTGGGGTGGGGGGGGGTTTTTTTTGGGGGCGGGTGGGGGGAGGGGAGGAGACTGTATCTTAAGCTACAAAGCTTTGGACAAACCTATTCTCCCTGCCTCTTCTCATCTCACCCCTTGAACTTTTAAAAAAAGAATTGGTGCAATGTTTGCCTTAACTAGTTCTTTCCTACAATACTTAGAAATATGACCAACCATTACATCTTCAAACTGCAAAGGTACTCTCACATATACTTTTACTTTCTTATATTGTTGTGACAAATTTTAGGCTGGTATAAACATATGGAACAACTTTGCTGCTCAAATACTGTGTTGAAATACTTCAGCTGCATTTTTCTCAGATATGTGCTAGTGCCTCTTCCAGCCAACATACTTACTTGTTAATCTGTGCCAAGAACATTCCCTTCAATGCATAAAACTCAGCAGTCATCTCCTTGGTGAAGTACTTCAGATTGGTTGATTCAATAACTTCAAGACCCTGTTAAATAAGCCTTAGTGAGAAAAGTCTTCTAAAATGGAAAGTTTTATTAAAATGAAAGTGCCATAAAAAAAACAGCCAACATATTCTCTTGAAATTTAAATAGCATGAGTTTCCAGTATTAATTTTCATTTTAGAAAATCTGGGCCAACAACAATTTTAAGTTTCCACTAGCCTATGCAAAACTATTATAGACAACATTCATCAGATCATGGGTTATCTTTTCCACTTTGTTTTTTTATGTTATATTATTATTATTTATATTGTGTTATATTACATTATTATTATAAGGTCCCAGTTTGCTGACCCTATGTCAGTGGGGTTTTTTTTTCTTTCGTTTTAACACATACGATTTCACTTCAGGATGCCAGCATCCATCATTCATGAGTCAGACATTCAAAACTGACTTATAGTTTGTTAGTCTTGCAATACTTTTGTTTCTTAATAATATAATTTTCAAACTCCCTTCCATTTATCTATCTTGTAAGATTTCAAAAAACATATTTCCACTTTACTTTTATTTTGCTAATTTTTAATATATTCACGGAATTCAGTTCAAAGAAGACAATGACTGCCTTTGACTAACAGCATTACCTAAAAAAACACTCTATGCACGGTATAACATGGCCAACAAAATGCAGACCCTGTTCTGTATACAGGCAGTTTGTTTAAATCAATGTATCTGATAGCCCTTGTAATCCTCCAAGTTCCAACAACAACTTCAGAGATAAAGCTACTGTACCTGCATACATTCATTTTTGCCCATGACTCCAGCCAGCTGAAGATAACATTTAACTTGCTGGCGAATCTTCTGAAAGCAGTCCACAATGGGCACAGTTGGAATTGTATGAATGCGACTCAGTATATCCAGAGCTACGTTGACCAGCCCTTGTTTTCGAGCTATCTTTCCATATTGGATAATTGCCGATGCAGAAGCATGAACTCCCAACATAGCGTTATTGGAACTAGGATCATGCTGAGAACTATTTTCATATGCAGTTACAATGGCTAGAAACAAAACATGAAATGTTTGTCATTATAAATGAAATTACATATACAGCAATTTCTTAACAGAATACATATGAAATGATGACTTAAGATAATAAAACACTTAAAAGGAAATTGGACAAAAACAAACACTTTTTAAAATCAACAACATTCCTGTATGTTTAAATGAATAAAAACAAAAAACACCATAACTTATTTTAAAAAAATGTGTTGTCTGGAAAATTACATGATGAATGCATGCTGGACCAGGCAGTTTTACCCTGGTAATGATGTTGTCTCCACATGAAAATGCTGCTCCAGTGGGATAAATCATCTGACACAATAGGTAACCTGTTCCTCCAAGTCTTTACAACAGTCTTCATATCATGTAAGCTGTTGTTCCTCCCCAGATTAGTTGGCTGCAATCCTGCGTTTATTTGGGCTGCTTCTTGAAGTTCAATTATTTGCTGTGCTGCCTAGAAAATATTAAACAATATAAATTATCATAAAGGATAGTACAATAAGCTGGCCAATTTCACTGTTAGAAAAAGATCTCTATGAATGATGCCACCTTTAAATAATCAAGTAAAGATGAAACTATTTATGCTGTTTTAGAGAGCTGTCTATTAGTTGCATAAATGACCTTTAACCTATCTAATCATTAATAAAATAGCAAAAAAAAAAAACCATGAGATTGATTCAATACTTTAGTCATTGACTGAAATGTTGAATTCATCCACTGAATCACCAGCACAGAATTTATACCAATGGGTCACTACAGGTATCAAGCAGTTTATTTCATGCACGCCTTATTCTGACAAAACCTAAATGCCCTAACATTATTTGGTTGCAAACAGACATTACTGATCTGTACTTAATGTGTTCTTCCTATAATACTATGGGTTTGCTTGCTAGTTTAACTTTGGTCAACTATGACATGTCTTTCCTTTATAGTATTAAGACAAAAATTCCCTTATCCTTTCTTTTATTTTGAACTGCAAATGCTTTCACAAATTATCCCTCAAATGATAGTGTCTTGCTTTTAGGAAGCATTTTTTCCTTTTTTTTCTTTAACAAAAAAACCAAACCAAAACAAAACACACCCACAAAAACACAAACACCAAAGGAAAGATAGTTTACTAGAATCTACACTCTCTCTTCACCCGCATCCTTCTCCCCACACACATCTGAACACAAGTGAGAATTACACTCTAGCATACAAGTTTGGACTTACTACATCAACCCTAATTGTAGAAAAGCGCAAGTAAATATATATACAGTATATACAGTGTGCTAAATACAAGGATGAAGTAAGAATACTGACCTTAAACAAAACTTTTAACAGAACTTTTAATAATTAAAACCCAAAACTTTTAACAGAACTTAGTAGTATAAATTCCCTGGTCATGATCTGACTTCTTAATAGAAACTTGAATGTACAGAAATACTATCTACGTGCTCCTGAAGGTGTTGCTTTAAGATATTCTGCAAAGACCTTAGCTTTGAGAAGTTACTTAAGTTAAGGATGGTTTTTCACTGACATCTATCTGCAAATTAATGAGAGGAACAAACAGAAGATGGCAGTAGTGTCCAACCTACTAAAGGCAGCAGACATTTAAAACTTCAACAACCTGAAGAAAAGGCCCAGAAACTTTAATGGAATTTAATTACCTATAGTACAATAAAACCAACATAGTATTCTCTAAGCTACCTCTTGGCAGATAACAGTTGTATTCATTGTTAATCAACCAAATAACAACTATTTAAAAAAAAAAAGGCAGTCCAAATTTACAGAGTGAAATCTCTTGAAACAAAATAAATTAAACAAAGTAATATTTTCCTAGAATCATCTCAGTATCAGCTCTCACAATAGCTTAACCTTCATCCTACACCCATTCATCACATAAATTTAATTTTCTCACAGGTATTTAATCACATACTATCTGATATTAAAAAAAAGTAATTACTGCAGTGCAAATTCATGGCTGCATTCGTACCTCTGTCAGTCATTGACTAATTTATCACTTCTTCATGAGGGATATATATGTATTAGATTATTTTAAAAGCTTGTTTTAATTGACATCCGAAAGCATTTAAATACTTTATTTAGCAATACTAATCCTTTCATGCTGCAGATACTGCCAGTCTTAGGGGAGGAAAAATGAAGTATCAGTGAAAACTTAGCAGGAAGGAATTAATTTCATCAAGAAGCCTTCTAGTTGTATTGTATCAGCTCAAAAAAATGAAACATTGTACCTATTTACATGGCAACTTCCTCTCAATATGGAGAAAACTTCCGTATTTATTCACTTTATTTGATGCATCAACTCATACTAAAGAACGGAGGTATGGGCTGCTGTGTAAGCTCTACCCACAACTACAGTCATTTTAGTAGAGGTACCTTAGATCAGGCAGATCTGGTTGCTTATGAATCACACCGGGCATGACAACACAGTCATGCCGATGTTACACAGAATTACAGAAGCCACTATATCAAACAACTCAGAAAGCAAGATCATCTGCATTTCTACAGGTAAGGTTCATTCACAGCTCTCTGAGCAATGGTCCATCAAGAAATGCATCGCTATTATGAAACTTCCGATTGTGTTGCACTGAGATATATTCCAGAATTTCTCCCCTGGAGATGAAAGGTTCCCTCAACAGTAACAAGAGCTAATCTTCGTCAGGTGCATGTTTATCAGGATACCTAAACAGGGACACAGTCAGCCTAAATGAAAAATGAATAGCATGTTTTGTCCAGATCACATACTGTGTCAGTGTTGACATTCCATATATTTCCAAAGGAAACAGAAGTCCATTTTTGTTATGGTGAAATATGTGTAAAAGTTGCAAAGGACACAAGCCATGCATTTTTCACCATGTAATACATGTTATTTCATCTCATGTAATAATTAAACTGCATATTCTGTATTATCAGAGTTGTGCCAGCTGCTTCACAAAAATATTTCTGGGGGTCTGAAAAAAAATGGTCTCAAGTTCTTACAAGCTCTTCCTGACAGGACAAGAAACAAGTACTTTTCCCTAATTTTCTAAGTGCACCATTTGCTAGTAACATGTATGCCAAAGAGAAAAACTAAAAGCACAGGATTTAAACACATCTTGTCTTGAAATTGAATTGTCAATGTTGCAAAATAAAAGATTTCTCACAAGCAAAAATAAAAAGGTACTTTGTGTACAGCGTCTTAAAACCAGTTTACGTTTAAATAAATGCTGGAAAACAGTACATTCTTTGCCTTGTAATATTTAATGATCTGAGTGCAAAAATATGGCGTACTTAAATAAGCACAAAGAACCTATTTAGCAAGGATGAAAGAAAAGTAATCTTTTACTTTCCTTATTCCGAGCACACTCCTTTCGAGAAACAGAAAATAGCATGCCCCCTTTTGAGAGCAAAATGCTTTTATGATTCAGAAGCAGCCAGTGAGCTCTACCTTCTCCTAGAAATGGATAACAGAGTTAAGAAAAAAGTACATAAATAGAAAAATGGCACAAAAAATGTTAGCTTTGCCCATCCTGTGTATGCACTGGGTTATCCAGTTGGAAAGTTACTCATCCTTTAAAAGTCAAGGATTCAAGCATGCATGCAAGAGTTTATTCGAACATCAGTGCTGTTGTGCAATATACTGCAGTAATTTTACAGGACAGTTTGAAATTCAAGTCACAAACTTCTTCCCCTGTTTTAAATGCTCTTGACAAAGAATTAAGCTACTTAAGATTAGATAATACTCAACTTTTGGAAGGGTTCTTTTATTTGTTTTCGGGGGAGGTGCTGGGGGTTTTGTTTATTTGTTTTTAAAGTTCTTGTAACCCCAAATTCATTAGCTGTCCCTCATTTTATTCTGGACAAGACAGCTCACTCCTTCATTGCCAGAATTCTGCCCCTACTTTAGGAGCAAGCTTCTCTCAAAACTTTATGCTCGCTTTGTCCATTTTTGTCCAGAAAGCATACAGATCTCTTTCAGATCACAAACTAGTGAGGCCATAGGGCTCCATCCACTTCTGATTCAAGCAGTCCATTCCTTCTCAGTTCAGCAAAAGGCCATTGACAGAGGTTACCACTGACTCAAACCTTCCAGCTGACCTATTCACACGAGTGCTCCATAACAGACTGGAATTAAAATGAACCGATTAGTTGGAAGCAGTAACCTTTTCAATCAGCATAGCTAAACTTGGATGATGTCCACCCACACATAGATAAGGAGCATTACTGAAATATGGCCTTCCACTCAGACCAAAGAAATTTTCTTTCCTGTAGCTGGCATCAGATTAGATGAAGGGAGCAGAGATCACTCTTCCCAACCCACAACATCTCTCAGCCTGTGAAGCAATGTGATTCAACATAGGAATTCCTTTTACAACATTACTACAAGACTTTAACGCTATGTTGAACAGAACTTGCCAAGTGAGCTAGCTGGACAACTAATAAAGCTGAAGACCAACGCATGAAGCTTTGAGGTATACACGTTAGTTTATCTAATAGAATCCACTTCCCTCTTCAGCAGAACGTGTATACAATTAACTACCTGTCCAATGAGAAATATCATATACTTAAAGACTAGATTCCTTCTTACTTCCTTTCCCTGATGCAAATCAGGACATTTAGCAATATCATATAGAAATGACAAAGAAAAGGTAAGGCTCACATTGGCCAGAACCTACAGTATTTTTCCTAAAGGTAGTAGTGCTCACCTGAAAAGTCCTTCACTAACAACAGACTTTTACAGTTTTTGGTTCATTAACCTTGATGCTTAAGCCATGGGGATGTTCAGAACTTGCTCAGCCTGTTCAGAACACTACTCCTCAAAGAAACACCAGCATTTCTAAATACACTTTTCCCTTACAGTTAGCTCAGACTTAAAAAAAAAAAAAAATTAAACTCAAAAAAAATATAGGAGTACGTTACACAGTTGACAAAATTCCATGCCGCATTTATGGGGTTTAACTGAAAAGAACACTTAGGAGGTTATTTCAACACTTCTGCAAATAACACAATACAATAATATACCCACCCAAAATGGACCTCACTTTAAAACCCACTGAATGTTCAAGACCTCCAAGTTCTGCAGTGCATTATGCATTAGCCTACAAAAAAAGTTGAACCATCTGATCAATTTTTAAATATCTACCTGTGTATGCCACAAACAGAATGGATTCAGGTAAACTATAAAAACTTTAAAAGGAATCCAAATCAAAATGCACATTCTGCAACTTTTAACAAAAAAATACCATTACGAAAAACCAATCAGTACTATAGAGTAAAATATTTTATGCTTACAGTTACTAAAAGTCCTGAAAGCTGCTACTGGAAAATAACTGGCAATAAAAAAACTTTTCATTCTTACCTGAAGAAGGGGAGTATGAACATGCGAGACTACGTGAGGAAGCCTTCGCCATTCTCGAATAGCTAAACTACTCGCCATCTCTACCAGACGCTCAATGAAGTTAAGCTGTTGCTCTTCCGGATGGCAGATTGCTAAGTATCCTCTGTACATATTCACTTTCCATGCCATCTCTTTTGGACAACTCAACTCCACCTGGTAATGAAATGGAAAAAAATTCTAGTAAAGATTATTCATACTTAAATGCAGATTTTTTTTAAATTATTTTTTAAAAGTCTTCTTAAGCAAACAGTCCTAGTTTTTATAAAAAATAGCTCAATTTCTAAAAATATCAGACTAAAATATCAAAATTTCTGTCATTAGAGGAGTTTCAGCTCTCAAAGTTATTGGCAAGGGCAGGCTAGCAAATAAATTGCAAATTCAGCACAAGAATAGAAGTGCCTGCATACAACCTGCTGTTAGGGTATTTTTACACTGACAACTGTAGTGTGGCTGAGAGACTGCTGAGCAAGCTGAAAGCAGTCTTGCAACAGGAGCACGAAGCTCACTGCAAACCATTTCACCCTGTATAAAGAAAAAAGATGCTTCTCAGCAGATAACACATACAACCTCCGAAATGCTTCAGGGGCTCCAGAACAGGTAATGTCAACTTCTCACTTAACAAGATCCCGTCCCTATATGTCAGCATATTATGCCAGCATTATACTTCCTAACTGCCTGCTCTAAGGACATTACTCAGTTTATGAGAATAAACAGTTAAAAAATTGTTAACTGTCATCTACAACTAACCTTCCCATTTATGTCAAAGTAATTTCTGAGTACAAGTGCAAAGTCAGGTCATAGTGCTAAAATAATTTAAAAAATAATTTTAAACCATTTTCTTAAAATCCTGGAACAGTAAAAATATGGCAACTAAAACCAGCAAAGTACTTGAATTGTCTAGCAACTAAATTCTGTGAGTATTTTACAGTAAACTTGCACTTAACCAACGCTCACTAGCTGACGCTGTAGGCCTTAAATCTAGAATTTTTCTACTTCTTTCTCCTGCTTTACATCAAACCCTTTATGGTTTGATATGCAACACAGAAACCCCTCTGCATTATCTTCTTGTTGATATACTGTATCTTAACCGCTACAATTGTTTTTTCTGTTATCCTCAACTAACTTTTACGCCTGAGCCAGCAAAGAGAAACTGCCAGGTAGCAACCTTACACTTACACAGTGAAAATAGTCTCTTTCTTTATTACATTATCTACTGGATCATTAAACACAATGGCAATGTGAGCAAATGGAAATGAGTCTTGGGTCCTATCAAAGCCCACTTGCTATTTTAATAGCTCAACTTCAATAGGTAGATTATTAAAAATGTTTCACACAGATTTACAAAAACTGATACATATTTGCCATCCCTTCTGACCTCTCTTGTGAATCAACCACGGAACTTGATAAAAAACAGCCATGTTAAAGAATATCAATAAAACTGGAGTAGTGAGTATAGCAGCATAGAATCAATTATTCTTTCACATCCTAATATTTATGCAAACGTGTCCTGACACTTTTACAAGAATCTGAGTAGAGTCACAAAAGCTCCATTTATGGCTTTAGCAGCATCTTCTCCTTAGTCGTTTAGTAAATGCCTCATTACTGAAAAAATCTCATTTAATATAACTGCAGCTAAAACATATCAGCAGTTACTCATGGCTGTCACTTCTACTCAACTTGCAAATCTCCAAACCAGAACCTGTCAGACATGATCTATTTCATTCTATTCGAACTCAAGGTTTATAATATACTGTACAATACAGTTCTTATTTTAGGCTTTAAAGGTTTCTCAGATAATATTATTTCTATTATTAGCCACTGAAATTGCATACTTAAATAGGATGCAAAATACCAATTGTTACCTGAATAAAAGAAGTTATTAAAATGTAAATATAACCTATAAGATAATTTTTGTAGCATATGCAATTTGCTACTTACAGATTTGGCTTCACATTGGCTGATAAACGATAAAATCCATCTTTAGAGACACCTATTTAATTTGAACCATCAGTACTACAAATATTGAAAAATTCCATTTCAAATTTTGCAGTGGTTGGACACCCTTAATTTAGGTTCCATCAACAGACAACACTACCTTTAATTAATTAAAAAACTTTCATAGTTTAACCTTTAAAGCAAAACATACTGATTGCATCCACCTGTTTTCCCTTCTGACAAAAGAAAGTGTTACAGAAGAATAAAAATACTAATTTAAAAAAAAGTAATATTCAGTCTGATTTTGAAGAAAGTAAGAGAGACATACAACTCTGCATATTTATCATGGGAGACTAAGTTGTCACAACGAAGCATGCTGTTAGGGTATTTTGTATACAAGAACTTAATTCTGCAAGATATTGGAATTAAAGGATGCTCAGTGTTTTTCATAATCATTTTTTATCTTTTGCAAATATTATGAAACTAGACAGTCAACTGTTAATTTGACATGTAATACTTTTAACTGATAGGTATTGGTTCAAAACTTAAACAGTACTGATGAAACAATAAACCCCAACTAAGTGAGGGACTAATTCTTCTGGCTCTCTCTCTGCAATATGAAAAAACACTGCCTAAGGCTCTGCTCAGAGCTTTGTCAGTAAAATTGTATTTTAAATATGCAATTCACCCCCTTATTCCAAACTCTGGCATCTTTAGCAGAGTAATTCCAGTAACATCACACTAAATAGCAACAGTGCAATGAAGATCAGCAAGCTCCTTCCCACTTGTGACTTAATGCAGTATCCTCACCTTTCAGATTTCGTTTCTACGTCTAGTTTATGTTTCTACATTAACTAATCACAGATGAACAATTCTACCTACCATGAAAAGAAGGTATATTTCCTTAAAACGAAACAAACCAAAACAAAACAACAAAACAAAATCAATCTTCTATAGAACAGTGATACCACATACGAAGTTAAAAAAAAATCCCAGAAAAATCTACCGGTGACTCAATACAGAACTCTGTCATTTGTCCCAAGAACCCCGTGTTGGCTGTGTAGCCTGACATTTTATAGCAACCTCAGGAACAATAACCACCAGCTTATTCACATGGGATGGTCACCTAAGGAAGGTACCTAAATATGGCCATTTTTTTTGCACGTGGAAGAATTCCTCGAAATTTGCTCTCAGATGAAAACGTCTACCTATGTATTTTCTCTTGCACCTTTTCAGAAAGTGAGGGTCATTTTCAGCATGTTTCCCTAGCCATTTAAACTTTATTCACACACACAAAAAAAAATGTTTATGAACACCTGGAAAGAAAAAAGATCTTCCAGATTGAAATCTTTTGAAATGTTATCTTCCATATGTACTTTGTCCCCTGCCTTCAAACTGTTCTGTAACAGCCAAAACTTTACGCAGCATTCATTCATCAAGCACATGGATAGCACAGAATACACAGTCCCATGAGTGAAACCCAGGAAAAGACAAAGGGAAGGTTAAATGTTTTACAAGTGCATGTTGTTCAACAAAATCAATTACAGCAGAAGACAGTAATGAACTCCATAATGAATCAGGAAGGTCAACAGCAGGAAAGTACAAACAATACATATTATCCGTTACCAAATGAAGAAGATGACTACCTCACTTGCCACACACAAGTTCCTTAGTTTCTAACAAAAGAAGCTAAGCATAGTGCTGGTTTCTAAAACAACATGTAACAGGCAGGGCACCTCTATGCTACTTCAGATGAAGAATATGCCCAGAAACGCTGTGGCATCTCAATTCCTAAGTGATACTAAAACTCTACTAGACAAATCAACCTGATCTACTTGGGCCCTGCTCTGAATGCAGCATTGGGCCAGATGACCTCCAGAAGTCCCTTCCAACTCAAACTATTTTATGATTCTGTAAACTTTACATTAAACTATAAATGTATAATCATCAATGCATTAAGCTTCTGAGGAAACCTTGGAACATTAGAAAATTCCAAACTCAAGTTTTCTGATTCCACAGAACACCGAACAAGGAACTTACAGGAAACAACTCCTACTAGGAGTGCTATCTCGAAGCCTCAGCACCCTCTGTCATAAACGTATATATCTAGAAGTCTGTAAAATCATTATGATATTTACTTTTAGCACAAAACTTACCACAAATTGTCACAATTTGAGAGGAAATAAAAATACTTTTAGCTTTATTTCTTTTTTTCAGTAGACTGTAGATTTAAACAGTGTCACTTCACAAAAGCCTAAGCTTTATTGTAAGTGGTCTCGGTATGTTTATTTGTATGCTTTCTACTATAAAGATTATATGTGTTTTGGGAACACATTTGAAAGTCAATCATCTAAAAGCTAAGCATGCCATTGTATTTATGCATTATGATTCTATTTACTTTATAAACCTACTTTTGCAGAATCAAAGTATTTTTTCCCCCAGAAGAACCTATCCCTTACTGTAATCTAGTGACCTTGTTCAAGTCCAATCCCCACCTCTCTCTCTGTGAATCAACCTGTCTCCTGCACAACCAGTCTCACTGACACACCCTGCAACATCTAACTCAATGCCTCCCTCCTCTCTGCTAGTTTTACCAAGTCCTTTATACTTTCTCAAAGGAAATCACTTTCTTCAACCTCTTGCTTCAGTCTATTTACCCAGTTAATCCTGCACTGCTAGTCAAATTTGTACTCCTCCAGCCTCCTTCATCCTCACCTCATACTCTTCTCAGGCTCATTGCCTAAGGTTCATTACCTGGTCTTCTTGTCCCTCACCTCTCATTAGATCTCCACTTTCCAGTCTTGACCACACTGGCTCCAACCTCTGGTGCTCCCAAGGTAGTTTAAAATTATATGTAACGGATACATTGCAAAATCAAATGAGTCTTATTTTAAACGGAACTAAAGCAGACTCAAAGTGAGAATAAAGTTAGAAATCCAGCAGTTAATTCGCAGTAATAAAGTATTAGAGTACTTAAAAAGAAAGCAAAAGAAGACAGATACAGGAAGCAATCCCCAGACAGACAGTACAGAAAAACATTGCTACTGAAAGAACAACAAACCTTCTATTATGCTTCTGCTAAGCATGGCCATAAAATCCAAGAAACGAAAACCAGCACGTGCCAAGTAATCCCACTACATTTCCCACCACATATAAACAACTTCAAATTTGTCACTGTCTTCATTAAAACAATAACTACTGGTATAGTCTCCAGCGTA